CCATGTAGCCAAAGCAGCTTTTTCAATCGATTTTTATTGAAATGGTTATATTAGCAAATTCCACACATACAGGTATACACTACTGGCATACAGGTATATACCATACAATTTCACTACGGAGTTAATACTTACATCAGTCATGAGGGCCTCAGAGTTGGGCTGCCTGGAACATTTCCAAGGATTGGTAAGACCTGATTGTCAGGAAATCAGCTCACACTGTACTTCGTGTGTGTGTGTGTGTGTGTGTGTGTGTATTTTCTAGACAAGGTAACTCCCTCCCCCCACTAACAGTGAGCCCCCAAATTCAGTGAGTGATTAATGTGCTCCTCACATATTTGGTGTGTGTTCTTGCTAGCACAAGCACTCCAACGGTGAGTGAAAATTCAAGTGCATAGTTGGCCATTTCATTCCTTCAGATGCTTCCACCCCTGCCACAATTATGAATATCCCAAGCCTCCCCCACCCCAAATTATCTGTGCTACGGTTAGAAAAATAGTTCTGTATGCCATCCTTTGAGATGTTGTGCATAGTTAGCAGGAGCCCAGAGTGCGAGGGCTTCGTAGACCCAAGTATGAAAGGGATAACTTCACTATTTCCTATGAGTATAAAAGCTACCGAGGGTCAGGTGAGAAACGATTGTGACGTAGGTGGCCTGGGTGTACACCAATTCATTTTCTTGTGCAGGAACAAGATACTTCTCTTAGCTGATGGTGCTCTCCACACCCCTTACACCTCCTAGCTGGAAGTCTTGTTCTTGTTAAGTACATTGGGCCGTTTTCTCAGATAGACCGATAGCTATTCTGGAGTCCATCTTGCTTTCCCTTCTTGGCTTGACTTGAGATTCTGGTCCAAGCACCAGGCAAGGGAAACCCTTGGCTGGCTGGCCAGCAAGACAGGGCTGGCCACAGAGGATGAAGGGGGAATAGAGCCCCCTTCCATCTCCCTCCAGACCCACAGAGCACGGCTGGAAAGTCAGCAGGAGCAGCTTGCTAATCTGGAGGGAAAAGAAATGGCTTGAGATGTTATAGTCTATCTAACCCTCTCTCCTTTTTAAAAACAAATGGTGTGTTTGGTACCTTCCAGTCATTAGAAAAGTCTTTTAATGTCGTACAATGTAAATACACTTGGATTTGCTTGTGGATGAAGGGTAATTCCAAAAGCAGGTTAGAATTCATGTTAAGTTGAATATATTAAAACTAAAAAAACAGATCAGGACAGTCATCTGTGACTCTTGCAGTAAAGAGAAGAGGGTGGAAATAGAAAGGTCTCTGATGGGTGAGGAAAAGAAAGATGAAGGCCAACGCAGGTTTTCCGGGTGACCAGCACACCCGACTCCCTACGCATGCGCCTACTCCACAAGCAGAGGCAAAGGAGCCAATTCGACCCAGCATTTGATGGCTCGGGGCCACCAGCAACTGGGTTTCTGGGACAAATTATTCCATTATGCCATCCAATGGTCTGAGGCACTTCGGGGCCTGTCTTCATGATGGGGTGCCTGGGGAAGGAACGGAAGGGGGCCCAAGGCACTAGAACCCTTGGAAATGTCGTCGAATACTCAAGCTACGTGAGATGCAAAGGTGTCTCTTCATTCTCTCCCAAGTCAGAGTGATGAACACAGAAAAAATTAATGGCTTCAGCCTGGGGTGAGCTGCAGGAGAGAAAAACAGAGGTGATGGGCTGGGGAGCCTTGGAGGCAGCAGCGGCTGAAACGGATGGCGCCCCTGGTTGCCATGGACGCTGCAGGTGAGTGGGTTTCACAGCGCTGGAGAAGCAGGTGTCTTCCCGCCATGGAGGCCCAGCTGGCCTGTCTTCCTTAAAGTTCAGTTTGCTGGGATCCTCGGGGACAGCCATAGCAGAGAGGCTCTCCATGCCACCACCTCCCGCTCCCCCCCCAATCTCAGCCTGCCTCATCCAGGCGCTAAGAGGCTGGTGTGTGACCTTGGAACACTGCACCTGAGGGCAAATGAGCAGCCAGCCCAGCCAGTGACACTTGGTCTGCAAGAGGCGCTTTCCCTCACGAAAGGGGCTCAGGGGCTCCGCGAGTGTGGCCTCTCCTGCTGTTCAGAAGGACGTCCTAGAAAGCAGTTCCTTGCAGTCAGCTGACTTCCTTAGTCCTCTCTGCTGTAACAATACTTAGAATCCACACGGGTTTTCCCCATCCTCGGGCAGGGATCGTGGCCACATGCAAGGGTATTGTGTATTCATCCTTTTCCTGCAGGGCTTGGGGACGATGTCTCCACAAGACCCAAACGAGACGAAACTCCATGCACCTGTTTCTCACAGCAACTGCCTTTCTCAGGGCCTGGCAGGGTCTCCACTTCCTGTAAGTGTGTGTGGGGGGGAGGGGTTTCCTAAACCACGCTCCCCCAGAATAGCGCAAGGTGGCGTGTACCCACATTAGAGGAGTTGGAGGGCTGGAGAGTGAGGGAAAGCATCCTCCACGTTCTTTTCTAGATCTTTTCTTCAGTGGTTCCTCTGTCGGTACCTTACCTGCCAAGATCCCAGGGCTTCATTCCAAGCCCCGGGCCACACAGCCCCACGTGGGGCTGAGGACGGCCTCCAGCGAGGATGCGCCACTTCTGCATGGGGCGAGAAGAGGAAGATGAACCTCCTCCCCCACCCAGGGAGGGTGACTGTGATGGAGACGTACTGCGGAAGGCTGGGTGGTGTGCACAACACAGCTTCCCATGAATTCTGATGAAGAGCCACAGCCTGACTCCCGCGTCCCTCTGAGCCCAGTGCTGTACCTGCAGGCCTCCCGAGGAGGCCTCATGCCCACTCCAGACCTAAAGTGTCCCCATGAGGGCTCTCCCTAGTACCCACCCGATGCTGAGATTTGGAACTTGGCTGCCCTTTTTTCTGACTCCCTCCTTTCAGTCAGACGGCGCTGGGCCCGTGCAGTGCCTCTCGGCCATCCTGATCTCTGCAGTGTGTCGCTGCGCGCTTCCGCACACAGCCTGCAGCTCAACCCGATCTCTTTCCAGAGACTACAGCCTCACCGTTCCCAAGCAATGCCTCCCCAGCCTCTACCTGATACCTCAACCCTGCTCCCACGCTTCCTACAGCCAGACTTTTATTTCGGTCCTGCATGCACGCTAAGCCTCACTGTACACCTGAGGTGCCCCCCTTAGCTCCTCAAGTCTACATGATCACCCAGGATGTGTGTGGGGCTCACCGTGAGAACTGAAGAAAGGCTGAAGTGCATGACTAACTTTTGTCCTGCCCTTTCCTAGATGCTACCTCCTCATTTCTGTTTCTTGACATTTACGAGTTGCAGGATGACTCCTGACAAGAACACTGCAGAACCACTGTCTAAACGGGAACAGCTGTGGCGGAGAGCATGTGGGTTTTTCTTCTAGCCATGTACTGTGGCAGGTTACCAGGGAAAGGATGTGATGGGTAATAAAAACACGAGAAGGCCTATGAAGCCCACAGAATACCTTGAGTTAGTAAAATTCAGTCATTTTTTTTTTTTAATAGCTTGCTGACTTCATCTTTTGGCAGTTAGGGCTGTTGCTTCATCTAGGGCAGCTTAAAAAAAAATACAGTTTCAGTCACGTGGTTGGGCAGCTGTTCAGGGAAGTGCCTCGAATGGCCCTGTAGAGCAGCAGAGGGGCTGAGATGGAGTAGAGCAACTCCATTCAAAATCCTCCATTCAGAATCGCGCCTCCATTCAAAAGCAAGGTTCGCTGAGCCTTGTGTGGAGTTTGTACCGTCATGTGGTAGAGCCCGCCTTCCCGCGATGGGAGCAGGGGCAGCCACTCTGGAGGGATGTGCAGAAGCAGCAGCAGCAGCAGCAGCAGCACCAGAGACCTCAAGCTGGACTTTAGAAAAGGAAAGTTGTTCTATGGGAAGGAGATGGTGTGGCAGGCAGAGACTGGAGACAGGCTCAGTCAGAGCAGTAGTCCACGGAGGCATGGAGGGTGTATGGCTCACTCTTTGGCCCTTTCCTTTCTTTAAAGAGTCCCCTAAGAAAAACACTTCAAGGTCATCATCTTCTTCCTGGCTGAAACTGGTGCTAAGCCTCGCGAGATAGCTATAATAAAAGAAACCACTCTGCATGCTCTGACTGGGGCCTGCCAGAGTCAGCGCCGCTCCCTGGGCTGCTCACAGACAGGATGCTGCTGACGGGTAAGTCCTCACAAATCTGACACGGCGAGCCGCCCTGCCACTGGCTCTGGGCTGAGGTCCTGACGTGCCTTGCTAGTGTCCCTTTTAGCAGAACTGCTGGCAGAGGCTGTTACCTGGGATAGAAAATGCCATCCTCTCCACACCTGAAGCACGAGACCTTGATGGAGAGTTCGTGTCCCTCCTCACAGGGCAAGAGAGGACATCCTGAGTCAGAGGGTGGCCCTGATTTTGAGGAAAAGGGGGGTCAAGCTGAGATCTGAAGCACTATTCTGCGTCTATTGCCTTGGAAGAAGGTCTCCTTGGCTATTCTGCCCCAGATTTCCAAGAAATTCAGCGATTATATCAACAGACACATTTTAGAGGGTTTGCTTTTTTAAGTTTCTTCTCAAGCAATCTTATGGCGTTCTAGTAAAGACACTGTCGAGAGTGTTTACCATTCATGTCTTTGCAAGATTGCAGAAGTCAGAAGAAAACGCTGTATAGGGACCTGAATTTTTGGCTCAGGAGGAAAAAAAAAAAACAACCCAACAACACAAGGCTGCGGTAGGGACAGTATGGCAATAATCAGAATCGAATGATCGAATCTGTCTGGTGAGCCAAAGCCAACAAGTGCAAGCACGCATCTGGAGCTCTGTCAAGCTGAAGCTGCATCTCCAAGCATGTGCTCTCTCTGAGAGCCCAGCAGGACAAACCTATCTTTCTGAACGATGCTTTTCTTAAAACTGTTTATCAAAAATATGTCTTATAGTACAAAGACCATAAAAAGAAAAGCAAGCAAATTCCTTGGTAAACAGTAACAAGCAAAAGCAGCTCAGACCTTAAAGGCCTGTTCCAGCCTCAAATTATGAAAATAAAATGCTGCTGCTCACCTGCTACCATGCTTCTACTGGCTGGCCCCACCTAGCTCTCCACGGGCTTTTGTTTCAGGCATGACTGAGAAGAAAAGATGCCGTTAACGGGGAGGAGCCACTCACAGAAAGGTGGCGGATGTTCATTTCAAACTTAGGTTCCACAGAGTGGATGAAAATAACCAGCAGATGCATTCAGGTGTCTGCTTGATTTACTGGAAATCCAAGGCTTCTGATCCAAAGTCTTTCACACCTCCACAGAGCTCAGGCTAATAAAGAAGACTGAACTATGGTGTGGCAGTTTGCAAGAAGGGTGGGTGTATTACGTTTGTTTATCTTGGTCCCACGCTGGGATTACTTACAGGTGATATGTTTCAATCGGGTGAACTTGACTCCATCCTGGGTTGTGTGGGAAGAGCACATGTGTCCCGATGTCCGTTACACTGGCGACTGCATCGGGGCCTGTGAACCCAGCTGCCCGTGCTCCTTTGCCTCCCTCCCGCTGGTGCTGCGGCTGGCGGGGGAGACTGGGTTGCACAATGAAGGCTGAAGAGAGGTTCTCAGCGGGTATTCAGCAGCAGGGAGTTGGCTTGATCTTGATAAAACATCCTAAACCATCCAGATGTTGACAGCTGCTGCTAGCTGTGGCCCCCATGAGCTCAGTGTGTCCAGAGGACAGGCTCCCCAGAGCCACCTCCCCATACACAAACCTTAGTGGCTACCAAGGAAGCCGGAGGGTGTGGAGGGGCTTTATGTTTAGTGACTAAACATGTATCCTGTAGGTCATGCTCAACATGGACGCTGGGAAACAACAAAGCGGATGCACTGATCCTGGCTTCTTGGCCTGCATGTGCCCGGCTGAGCTCTGGCGGGAAATAAAGGTGGCTAGCGTGTCAGAGGCACGGGGAAAGAGACCCTTTAACCGAAGGTTTAACAGGAGACAAAGACAAAGCAGAGCAGGTCAAGGCGCTGAGACTTGCCTCTGCAGGGGGAAGAAGCTTTACCTACAGGCTTTACTACGCATTGTAAGCGAGGATCACAAGAAGTAGTTTAAAAGTTCATGGTCACCCTGACATAGAACAGCACGAGATCATTCAGGGACACGTTCCCAACCTTGACCCCTGGCCCCGCCTCTTCTCTGAAACCACCTGGCTTGTTGGGTGCCCATGTGCACTGGCCGGTGATTGGGCAGTGATTTGGTGCCACGAGGCTCACCTGGGCAATCACACTGTCCTCAAAAGCCTCACCTTGGGGGGAACTTTGCAATTTAACCCTGAACCCCAAACTGTGCTCGGAAGCGCCGCCGTTCTTCCCAAACAGACGCTGACAGAAGAATACAAAATAAGAAAGGTGATCACAAAATCAAATCACAAAAGAAGTGACCCCCAACAGCCCATCTTTTTTTTTTTTCTTTTAAATTCAGGTTTTGTTCTCATCATACATGTCCAAAGAAGGCTCGATTGCGGAGAATTCACTCTCATACACCAGGCTCCGAGGTGACAAGGAGTTTCGGTGAAAGAAGTGACCACCTGAAAAAGAAATAAGTACAGACTTAGTCCAGGTCATCGGCCCACATTTCCCATGTGGCTTCAGAGACAAGAACGTCCATTCCCCTTCATTATGACCTCTTATTGGTATCTTTCCATAAAGTGCACCACTGAGCATGTTCCCCAAGCCTACAAGCACACTTTAAACATCTATGCCCCAACAAGATCCCTAAGAGGCTTACCACTGTAGCTCTTTCAAAAGAAAAGCTGGCTGAGGCTCTTCAAAAGATTCCACTGAACACTAAACTCTAGCAGCTTGTGTCTGTACTTCAGCTACCCAGGAGGCTGAGACTAAGTGGATCTCCATTGGAGATCCATAAGACCTTCTTCATAAGACCTCCTTCTCAACTAGTAGCTGAGCATGGCGTCAAGTACCTGTTACTCTAGTTATCGTGGGGAACAAAACTTAGGAGGATCACAGTCTTGGTGTACATTCACAGGATTTGATTTCGGTCTACTCAGAATGAGACCACACTTTTATGTTTCTCTTTTTTTGGTACAACCGGGTTGTTTTTTTACAGCTTTGAGGTAAAAATTGATATGCCATCAAATGCACATGCCTGAAGTGTAGTTTCAAGAGCTTTTATGTATATGCCTATTGAACCTGAATCAAGATAATGCACATATCCATCCGTTACTTGCCCATGTTCTCTGGTGTTTTGTGGTAATCCCTTCCCCTTCTCACCACCCTGCTCCAATGACTAGGGTAACAGCTTACGTCTTTCTAGAATTCTGTATAAAAAGAATCATATAATATAGATTGGCTCTGACAAAGGGAGTTGCCATGAACATTTGGGGACAGGCTGTGTGTGAACATATGCTTCATTCCACAAGGAGTGGAATGAAAGACGAGGGGGTGTATGCTTTTCAATTTTAAAAGAAAGTACCAGATTTCCCCCCCACCTAAAATACTTGTACCATTTCACATTCTTACCAGCAGTGCAAAGAAGTTCCAGCTTCTCACCAACTCTTGGTATGATCAGTCTTTTGCATTTTAACCATTCTTTTAGCCATTCTCCTTGTGGTTCTGACTTTCAGAGATGATTAATGATGCTGAACTTTCAAGTACTCTTTGGCCAATTGTATTTCTTTTTCTCAAAAAGGGTGGTGTGCATGTGTGGGAGATGGAACTTAGGATACTGCATTGCTAGGCAAGCGCGCTACCACTGAGCTCCGCCCCTGGCCTCTTGTATATCTTCTTTTGGGAAATGTTTTGTTCAAATCTTTTGCCCATTTGAAAAAAAAAAGGTTGTCTCTATATTATTGAGTAGGAGAGATTTTTGTTTATGCTTAAAAAATATAGATCCACCCAGGCGCCAGTGGCTCACTCCTGTAATCCTAGCTACTCAGGAGGCTGAGATCTGAGGATCACGGTTCAAAGCCAGCCCGGGCAGGAAAGTCTGTGAAATTCTTATCTCCAATAAACCACTAGAAAACTGGAAGTGGTGATGTGGCTCAAGAGGTAGAGTGCTTGCCTTGAGCTGAAGAGCGCAGGGACAGTGCCCAAGCCGAGTTCAAGCCCCATGACCGACAAAATAAAAAAATATAGATCCAAGTCTTTTGTCAGATAGTGCAAACACTGTCTTCTAGTCGGAGGCTTGTCTTTTTATTTTCATAACAATGCCTTCTGAAGAGCAAGTTTAAAAATGTTGCGAAAGTCCAATTTATTGATTTTTTCTCCTTTTATAGTGTGTGCTTTTGTATCAGATTTAAGAAATCTTTGCCAATTCCAGAACTTACTAAGGTCTTTTACTTATGTATTCAGTTAGATATGTGTGTGTGTGTGTGTGTGTGTGCGCGCGCGTGTGCACCATTAATGGGGCTTGTACTTAGGGTCTTCTGTTCTTGCTTGTAAGATTTTTAGATCAAGGTTAGAGCTCTATCATTTGAGCTATACGTCCACTGGAGCCAGCCTTTTGCTGGCTCAGTGGAGATAAGACTCTTTCAGATTTCTCTATTTAGACAGACCTCAACCTCCTGGGTAGTAATGACTGGCTAAATGTGTATAATTTTAAAACATAATAAAATATAATTTTAGCAAGATGAGGAATGCAAAACAGTTTGGTGACTCCTCAAAAAGTTAAATATAAGCCATGTACTAGATGGATCATGCCTGTAAATCCTGGCTACTCAGGAGGCTGAGATCTGAAGATCACAGTTCAATGTCAGCCTGGGCAGGAAAGACCGTGAGACCCTCACCTCCAATTAATCAACAAAATACCGGAAGTAGAACTATGGCTCAAATGGAAGAGTGCTAGCCTTGAGCAAAAAAAAGCTCAGGGATAGCACTGAAGCACCGAGTTCAAGCCCCAGGACTAGCACACAAAAAAAGTTAAATATAGACTCATATGACCCAGAATTTTCACTACCATCTGCACACTATAGAGATTGGAAACAATGATGCATACAGATTCTCATACATCAATATTCACAGCAGTAGTATTCACAACAGCTGACATATAGCAACAACTCAAATACCCACCCAATGGAGAACGTATAGATGAACTGTGCAGATGGACAATTACTCAGCCATAGAAAAAAAATGAGTACTGAATATATCGTACAATGCAAATCAATCTTGAACATATTATGCCAAGTTACAAAGGATCCCATAGTTTACACGATTCTATTCACAGGGAACAACCAGAGTTAAGTGTATCTGCAGAAATGGCATGCAGATTGGTACTTACAAGGGGCTGGTGGGAAGGTGAAGGCAGAGTAAATGCTTAACAGGCAGGGTCTTCCTTTGGGGATGAGGGAAACCCTGGAGTTACAGGTGGAGGTGACACACCACCGTGAATGACTTATAATGGGGGCGGATCACATCTTGGAAGAACCTACTCTCAGTTGGAAACAAGGTGAAAATGCGTTTAGATACTCCTAAGCTAGTGAGTATCACGGCCTAGCCTAGTCTGCCCTGTGTTCAGAACAATAACTTCAGCCTGTAAACTCTGGGCAAACCCCCTAAAGTGTTAAGTGTCAAATGTAGTTTATCTCACTGTGTACAATGGAGAAGACTGGCGTGAGTCTGTGGCTGACTAGATGCTTGCGCTCCTTTACCGTCTAGAATTTTGAGAGCGTATTGTTAGCCTAGGAAAAGGTCAAAATTCAAGTACAAGCTCCTATTGAATGTATATTATTTTCATATCAAATTAAAAAAAATCTAAGATAAACTATCATACTGAGAGTATTGCTTATGTATCAAATGTTACTGAATTACTCATTTCATGTTTAATTTTATGTTACATGAATTTCATCTTAATGAAAGGGTTGGAGCCAGGTGGTTCGTGCCTGTAATTCCAGCTACCTGGGAGGTGGAGACAGGAGGATTGTGCTTAGAGGCCAGCCCAGGCAAGTTATTGTGGTCCTAGCTACGGGGTGAGGTGGAGGTCGGAGGACCGCTATTCAGGGCTAAGCCCAGCCACAGTTAGTGGGAGACTCTATCTGAGAACAAACTAAACAAGTTAAAAGCAGGCTAGGGGGC